TGCTTGTGTTCCCTTTCTCGCTGTGTTTCTCTCTCTGTCAAATACATAAATAAAATCTTAAAAAAAATAAAAATAAAAGATCAAATCATAAATGATTACTAGATACAATTAGAACATGTTGGGTTTGTCACTTTGCTTTGCAGCTGTCACCAAGGACAATTACTGCTGCCTCTGCATACCCTTGAGCTTCTCTGCCAGTGACAATACTGGGCTTAATGAACCGTGGTTCTGATGGGACATGACCGTTTCTGTTCTGATGTATTTAAGTACTTGACCATCACAGCTCACAGTACTAAAACCTCCTGAAGCTTGAAAGAGATTTAGGACTAATAAATTACAGTTATTTTAACGTATTCTGATGACATTATGCTTTGGAGTTTGCAGACGATTTTGAATACATTATCTCATTTGATTCTCACAGCATCTCTGTGAGGTAGGGTAGGAAACTGGTAAGGAAATTAAGGAAACTGGCTTGAGTTCATACAGCTATTAAGTAGAGGAAGTGAATTCAAACTCAGGTCTTGTGACTCTCAGTCCCATGTTAACTTTCACTAAACAGTGAGTGGAAAATTTTGGAACTTACCGTCCCCAGAGGTGGAACAGGCTGAGCTTCAGTTTCAAGAAGGGTTCGAGTTAGAAATAAAAATATGTTGCACAACGGTGCATACTTCGCCACGCGGACGCAGCGCTCTCTACTGCTTATCCTGGACCTGGCTTCAAAATCCTCTCAACACAGTGCTCTGGAGAACTACTAGTCAAAGACCAGAGCAGGCACATGGCTTTAAACCTTTTTTCAGGAAGAGAAGATCCATGGGCCTTATTTAAGGAAGCTAGAAGGACCCAAGGTAGAGACTGCTAATACTGACCAATATATCCAAATCAGCCTCTTCTTCCTCAGCACCTTGTCCTGCCTCCCTTGCAGTTAGACGAGGCCACGTGATTGAATTCTGGCCAATGAACCATCAGTGGAAGTGGGCAATCCTTTTCTTTCCCTATCTTCTGAGTGAATGGAGACTTTGAAGAGCTAGGGGGACATCAGTCACAGGATGGATGGAAGTTGGGCTTCTGAAGGGCTGAATGGAGTAGCACCTCCCCGAGAGCCCACCAACCTACCCACTGCTTTGAACTGTAATTTGAGAAATGTGGGTCTATGAGGCCACTGAGATGGGGAGCTATTTGTTCAACAGTTCATCTGCACACACCAATAAAGGCTGACTTCACATGCCTATACCCTTCCTTGAATCATCTTATGGTGTTATTCTCAGAGGCAATGCTAGATTGGGTGAGCTCACACATTGCTCACATTCAAATTTTAAAGACCTCACAAATGTACATGATGGTGGATTTTTTCTTCTTCTTCTCTTTCTGTTCCTCAACAAACCTTCTCCATTTGGAAGACATCTCTAGTTGGGTGACTGTGATGGGACCATGGGAGTCTAAGGGTCAGCTACTCCCTCATTCCATCCCCTGCAAATCAGAGCCCGGGCACTTGGTCTAGATTCTTCTGCTTGTTGGTATCTGGGACTTTAAATCTTGAGCAAATGAAGCAAAGAAGCAAGGACAGTTGAGAAATCAGTCTCTGAAGCCATAAGACTGAATCCAGCTTGGCCAGAGTCCTGTAGCTTGCATTGCCCTGGTTCCTACCCATTTTCCAAGCCTGATTGATTAAGAAGATTCTGTGAGGTACTTTATAGCTAAGCAATAAGATCCCTTTCTGCTTCAGTTGGTGTGGGTCCATTTCTGCTCCTTAAACCCTGTGTTCATGTGTGAGTGCATGTATGTGTACACACTCCATGCAGAGGAATAGTCCAGCACCAACAGCAACTGTTCTTTGCCGGGGTAATCTTTCCAAAACATAATTTCCAAATACATAATTTCTAAAACATAACCCTCTCCTGTTTCAAAAGATTCAAATTCTTCATCTATTTCAGGACAAACCCCACAAATTTTAGCATGACATCCCAGAACCTTTTTACCTCTCTCGTTTCGCCTCCCCTCACTTTTACTTTTCTACTGGGTGCTGGCCCTTGGCTTGCCATTTCTCCACACCACTGTACTCACCATGCCCTTGGCCTATTGTGCCTTCCCCTTTCTTAGCCCCTTGGCAATTCCTGCCTATCCTTCCTGTTGTAGCTCAAGAATGATCTCCATGAAATAGAATTTGATGGTATTACCTCTAGCACTATGTGTACTTGTTTTATGGCCCATATTACACTTTGTTGTGATGGTTCACAAGTTTGTCCTTGTTACTAGGTTATAAGCTTCTTGAGGATAGTGTCTGTCTAGTCACTGTGTATCACAACACATAGGATACCTCTGGGCGTATAGTATATACTTAGTAGGTATTTGTTGACTGACCAACTGACTGAGTGACTATGACCTGATCTCTTTAAGGCTCTGACAATCACCGGAAGAATCATTCTAGAACAACTACAATAAAGACTGTACAATATCCAGCCCTGAGCTACCCAAAGGTGGTTTAGGAAACAAAGAGACACTGGCTATCTTGAAATAATTTTTAATGTTTTAAAATTTAACTAGTGCACACAATACATGTTTTAGCAGAAGAATGAAAATGTGTGTATGGTGTTTAATAAAATTGACATTACAAAAGAAGACCACGTTAAGAAAACTTCAAAAGTAGAAGTAAACATTTAAGTAAAACAAAACAAAACAAAAAAACAAAACAAAACACAAAACAACATGCTAAGGGATATGCTTTTAAAATCCTAATAAATGTAGTTGCTTAAATCCAGACTTGAGACATTGAGATTTACTTTGGGACTTAAAAAAGGAAAAATAAAGCTGCAGAATGCCCTTCATTTAAAATGCATTTAAAAAAAATGTCTGCACATTGTTTTCCTGCTGGCAATTGCAATATAATCAAGTATATAAGAATACCAGCTGGATTCCAATCTGATGATAAAAAAGTACACCACCTGGTCTTCCTGTTAAGTATACAGTTTACCTCAGAAAGCAACAAGAAGTCACACTACATATTACTTTTCCATGTCAGACCCTCCCTGCCACCCATACTCCAAAGTGAACAGAGTTGAAAACTACTTCAACTTAAGTGAAAATGAAAACAAAAATCTTCAGCACCTTATAGTTTCTAAGCACAGGACTACACGGGCAGAAGGGAAATATAGGAAGAGGGGGCGGAAAACGGGTAAGACCAGTGATGTGCTCTTCAGGAAAAGTTACTTATACACAGCTGCTCAGATGGATAGAATGGCTGATTTATATATTGGTCATTGTGAGAAAAAAAAAAAAAAGGACTTTCAAAATTTCCTCAAATTTTGGCAGATCCCTCCAAAATGTAAACTTCGGAGGTGATTTACCCACACAATCATTTCCTAGAACTTTATAAAATAATTAGCACCATAATGGTGGAAGTCATAGTGAGGAAAAGGAGGTAAGAAAGAAAGGAATGCTCCTTTTTACGTCCTACCCACTCTTCCCCACCAGACTATGAAGATTCAGTGAGTCCTTAGAGAACAAAATAACCAAAATGTGTTTGATGGGAATAAAGTACTTTCTAGACCGAGTCTGCCCAGACTGGAGTGTTTCCCTTAACATTTCAAAAGAAGTATTCAACTCCAGGACAAGCCGATTTCTCTAAAATCCCAATGACAGCCAGTGCCGGCTTGGCCGAGTTTTGCTTTAATGCTCAAGAATGTCAAATGATAATGATACTTAGAAGAGCATCTTGGTCACAGCAGGGTAAGAATTTAATCAACACAGGGGGCATTTGCTAGCAAGTTATATGGTTAAAAAAAAATCCAAAGTTCAACTATTTCTTTTTCAGATGTGAACTTCACTGAGAACAGTGATCTCCTGGGGATCTGGTTTTATTGTTAACTTCCCTTATTATAAATAAATCAATTCAAACCACTCCTGCCTTATGTAAAAATATCAAAATCTTATATAAACCTTACCTATGGCCTGAGAAATGCAAGGACATTCACTAAGATATTTGTGCAAAAGTTGTTTCTCTCAGAGGGCAGGATAAATTGCAGGCAGAAAAACCAACCTCTAGAATAAAATTTTAGAAGGGATTTTTTTTTTTTCTATTTTCACTACATGAACAAGTTTTATCTAAAATTTGTACATAGCTTTAAAATATTTAATAAATTTAAGTTCTAGACAAATACTGACAATTGGTAATATAAAATGTGATTTGGTACATTTGTGGAATTTGAAGACTTACTATGTAAGTTTCTATTACACATTAATAATATTTAATTGTACATTTCAAATACAATTATGCTTACTTCACATCATTTATTCAGAACATCAATCCCCTTGGTTATTCTCACGACTTCCAACCCTTTAAGAAGTTGTACCAAAATTAAAAATCATTAGATTTGATAGTGACAAGTGAGGAAATACAACTCCTTAAGGTTGAATGAATAAGCCATATATGAATACTTAAGAAAACCTTACAAGTATTATATAGGTAATATAATTACAAATTGTTTTCTGTCCATTAAAAACATCTCTTTTGAACTTGAAAATATGCATGAATAGGGTCTATACGATGTGCATGTTTTCTGCAACGCTAATATTACTGGATTTCACAAATTCAGGCTAACACTGCACCACGAACAGGACGGAGAATGTGCTGCATCTGTAATGCCCCTGGTGGAAACAGACTGGGTACCAAAGTGCTGGATTTCCAACCTCGCATCCAATGTCAGTTCCTCTTTAGTTAGAAGATGAGGCATCCGCCTTCCCCATGGCTTCCTCGCCGAAGAGCAGCTTTCGAAGTATGTTTGCATAAAATGGTCCGTACACTTGTTTGTTGAGATTCACAATGTTTGCATATTGAGAGCCTAGCACTTCTAGCTCCTGCTGAATGATGGCAAGGCCTCCTGGCACGGGAGGCATGCATTTTTGAGGACTTGGAAGACAAAGTAGGCTTTTCATGTATAGTTGGATTCGTTTATCTGGAGAAAAAGAAGATATCTTTATCTGTCCCATTATTAAAGAACATGATTTTTAAAAAGAAATGAGAATAGTAATTATGGGGGCGCCTGGGTAGCTCAGTCAGTTAAGTGGCTGCCTTTGGCTCAGGCCATGATCCCAGGGTCCTGAGATCAAGCCCCACGTCGGGCTCCCTGCTCAGCGGGAAGCCTGCTTCTCCCTCTCCCTCTGCCTGCTGCTCTGCCTACTTGTGCTATCTCTCTGTCAAATAAATACAGTCTTAAAAAAGAATAGTAATTATGGTACGTGAATTGCAGTAATATTCTCAATTCTTTGCCCTCTCTGTATCCATGCTCTTTATGAGGTAGCTTTGCAGCTCTTCCCATCGAAGGCTGGAGACTGTTTCCCCGTGTCTTGAACTGCGGCTGGCCTTATGGCTTGTTTTGGCTGATAGAGAATGTGGCAGAAGTGCCGGTATGCTAGTTGCATGCAGAGACTCCAAGTGCCATGGTTCACATCTGCTTTCTCTACCCACCACTGCACGTGAACAAACCTGGGCTAGATGAGAGACCACACCGAGGGAAGCCCAGCTGTTCCATCGGAGGCCGTCCTAGACCAACCTATAGACAACAAGCTTGCAAACATTTGAGAGAGTCCAGGCAAGATCAGCAGAGCTACCTACCCAAGCCACAGCTGACTGCATAAGCAAGACCAGATGAACTACCCGGGTGCCCCACAGACTTGTGAACAACACTGTATTTGTGGGGTTTTTTTAGGTTCTGGAGTTTGAGGTGCCTTGTTACACAGCAATGCAGACAAAAAAACGTAGAGCACTTTGGGAGTAGGACAGGGACTCTTCTACAAAGACTTAATACTTAATGTCCATGATTTTAGTCATGTACATGAAAGCTGAGTTTGTAAACTGGCACTGCTAGTTCAACCCCCCACAATGTTTTTTTTGGGGGGGTGGGGGGTTTAGAAATAGACACTCTTTAAAATCAGGGGATTTCACATAGAAATCCAAATTTCTGGTTCCTCTTGAAAAACGTAGAGATGCAAACTTGGGGGCCCAAATTACCACATGACCAGGGTGACCACACATCCAGGTTTTCCCAGGACAGTCAGAGTTTACACCTGCTGTGCTGGCATAATTAACAAGAATGCTCTAAAAAGTGTCTTGGTTTGGATAATAAATTATACAGTTGCCCCACCTATGGCCAACAATCTGGAGGCACTGAGGAGGGGCTGCCCCAACTGGCACTCCGGCTGTCCGTCCTCTCCATCCTCCTACTTCCCTGCTTCAATGCAACTGCATGTGGGCGACTTTACAAAAGGACGAAATGCGTAAGTAAATGAGGCTGCAATACTACCGGACAGACCAGACCCGCTACAGGCCACACTGCCTCAAGGACTTCTTTTGGAAACGGAAACTGCACAAAGGACAGTTTACTAAAGAGAACACAGTGCACAGGATATGGACCATGATGACATTAATGAAATTCTTGTCTCCAAACACTTCTCCCAAAAGTCACACATTGCAGCTAGGTCTGACCTAGAATTCTAAGTTCCCAATGTCGCATGTCTTGTCTTAGCCAGAACTGTTTGCTCTTACTGGACGACCCTTCCCTCTCATCTCATCTCTGCCCGAAGTCCAAAACATCCTTCAGTGCCAAGCCTAAAGTTACTTCCTTTCTGTGGCTTTCCCTAACATCCGTCACACAATCATGCCGTATTATGGTTACTTGAGAACGTATGTCTCTCTCTCTCTTCTTAGACGTAGAGCTGCCTGAGGGTGAGGGCTGTGTCTTTTTTATCTTTATATCCCTGGTCTGGCACGTGGCAGGCACATCACAGATACTGACTGAACTGAAGTGAGAATGGAATGAAAAAGCTCCAGAAAGGTGAATACATCCAACAGAGTCAGCGAGAAATGGGGTGGGCAGTCAAAGAGGACTTGGCATCACTCATAATTTGTCAACAAGAAGAAATCATTCGTGTAAGTATCACCTATACAACTGAAAATTACTTTTAAAAAACAGAGATAGCTACAAGCATGCAAATAATCTACATAGCAGGTAATCTATAAATAATTTTTCCCTAGTTTTCATATGCATTTGAAAAAAGCTGATTTGAAAGAAACCTTTTCTAGTTATCTTTTTAAAAGGCTAAGAACAGGGGCGCCTGGGTGGCTCAGTTGGTTAAGCGACTGCCTTCGGCTCAGGTCATGATCCTGGAGTCCCGGGATCAAGTCCCACATCGGGCTCCCTGCTCAGCGGGGAGTCTGCTTCTCCCTCTGACCCTCCTCCCTCTCATGCTCTCTGTCTCTCATTCTCTCTCTCTCAAATAAATAAAAATAAAATCTTTAAAAAGAAAAAAATAAATAAATAAAAGGCTAAGAACACAGTGGGAGTTGTAATCCCATTCTAAATAAACAGCACATCAAGAACAAAAGAAGGCAGGGGCACCTGGGGGGCTTAGTTGGTTAAGTGTCTGCCTTTGGCTTGGGTCATGATCCTGGGGTCCCGGGATCAAGCCCAGTGTCAGACTCCCTGCTGGGCACAAAGTCTGTTTCTCCCTCTCCCCACCTTCCTACCCCACTTTGTGCCCTCTCCCTCTCTCTCTTTCAAATAAATAAATAAAATCTTGAAAAAAAAAAAAAAGAACAAAAGAAGGCAGACTATGGGTACCACAAACAGGGAAGGAAAACCAAGGCTAACTGGTCCTTTTTTTTTTTTTTTTTAAAGATTTTATTTATTTATTTGACAGAGAGAGAGTTAGCGAGAGCAGGAACAGAAGCAGGGGGAGTGGGAGAGGGAGAAGCAGGCTTCCCACCGAGCAGGGAGCCCGATGTGGGGCTCGATCCCAGGACGCTGGGATCATGACCTGAGCCAAAGGCAGACTCTTAACGGCTGAGCCACCCAGGTGCCCCCTAACTGGTCCTTCTTATGTCCCCAGGTTCCTCTGAGTGCTTAATTTACTCCAAGCCTTCTGCAAGCAGAAAATTAGTCAATTGTGTACTAAATTTCCTGTTAGACTGGTTGCCTGATTCTCAGGAGCCCAGGTCTGTTTTTATCACAGATATAGTCCAAACACTTTCCTGCAAGATTGTTTAAAGAAAGAAACTCTTTCAGGGGCGCTCGGGTCATGATCCCAGGGTCCTGGGATAGAGCCCCCGCATCGGGCTCCCTGCTCCGCGGGAAGCCTACTTCTCCCTCTCCCTCTGCCCCTGCTTGTGTTCCCTTTCTCGCTGTGTTTCTCTCTCTGTCAAATAAATAAAAAAAAAAATTAAAAAAAAAAAAAAAGAAAGAAACTCTTTCAAAACTGTTATTATGCTGACAAGTAGTTCTGTCTCCTCTGTGGATGAGTCAGTTTTTAGGCCAAGACTAAAATGACAGAAGTGTTTGTCCAATTAGGAGCAGCCAAACTGAGACCCTGCCAAAGGCGTGCCCTTGGCTTCCAGAGTCGAAGGAGAGCCGCTCAAATGAGTCATTCGAGTTTCTAGGCAACGATACTTTGAATGAGGTTAAAAATGCTTTCAGTTTGCAAAACAGCAGAAAAGTTGGACTGGGGATAGCTGGGTGAAAAAAAAAAAGGTGCTTTACCGAATTTTAAGAGGCCACCTTGGGGTGGGGCACCTAGCTAGGGCATCCCAGCTCCCTTCCTTCTGAAATTGCAAGTGCTTCCTTTATCTAAAGCAAGGGCACAGAGGACACCTGGATGCTCCGGCCACCATGCCAACCAACAGCAGGGCTCCAGTTCTGACTATAGTGCCCACCAGGAGTGGTTAAGAATATGAGCTCTGGAGTCAGACTGGCTCGTTGAGAGTCCTTTGTCTGTAGCCAGTTGGTTATGTGAGGTACGCACCTAGTCTAAGTCTCGGATGCACTCACCCCTTGCACAAATACAGTTGATCCTTGAACAACATGGGGGTGAGGGGCACTGACCCCTCCCACACAGTCAAAAACTTGCATATAACTTTTGACTCCCCAGAAGCCTAACTACTAATAGCCTACTGTTGACCAGAAGCCTTACTAATAACGTAGTTGATTAACACATATTTTATACACGTATTATATACTTTACTCTTATAATAAAATAAGCTAGAGAATAGAAAATGTTATTAAGAAAATTATAAGGAAGAGAATATACATTTACAGTACTGTATCAAAGTAAATCTGCATATAAGGGGACCTATGCAGTACAAACATGTGTTGTTCAGGGGTCGACTGTACTTATTAAATGTCATCTGTGGGTCCAGCCTGGTACAGGGACATAGAAGACAAGAGACATGCATTCCATCCTCACAAGGCCTGCGCACCCGTGGGGGCCAGTGGTATGTGGCAGAGACTGCAGACAATCTGCCCCTCCTCCTCCCAGGTATGCGCTGTTATGCTGGAGACTAAGGGCCATGAGGACACACAGGGGTCGGCAGTGAAGGCATGCACGGAAGACCTCAGCCCCGAGTGGCTGCAGCTATGGTGTGTTTGTCATTGCCGTCCAGAGTGATCTCTTGGTAACCCACAGTGCTGCAACCAGCACTCCTCCTTTCTGGGGAGGGGTTAAAGCCTTGAGCTTTTAGTGGCCTAGATCTCCAGGATTTCATGTCCCCAGGGGTAAGGATGAGAGAAACTATGTGAGAGCCTCAAAAATAATGATGACAAGTATTTGTACTCTTAGGGAAGTCAGTGTTGTACTTTGAGAACTTGCAGATTAGTCCATAGTTCCAATTCTATGCTCTTTTCCTCCTTCTGGTCTTTATTCCTCTCTCTATATAGCAGACACTTGCTTTGTGCCCCACATCACCTTCTCCCCCTCCTTCTGGCCACAGCACCCTGATTTGGTCTGGGGCAAATCTTCTCTTCCCTACTCTCAGACCAGGTATTGCAGGGAAAGTGGACTCATCCTGGCTCCAGGTACTGAACACACGTCTCAAGCTCCGGTTCCTTCCCCTCTGGCCACCAAGACTGATTCAAGAATGTGACTTGACCTACAGTCATGCCAACGGGAGCCAATGAGACTCAATTCTGGGGTCATTATTTGGGCGAAGCCATTATTACAGTGAAGCCAATACCTTGCTTTCCACTTGACTTCAATACAGAAAGGTACAGCTGGAGCTGAAGCAGTCCTGCCATGCTGGAAAGAGTCAATCTGTGAAGACAGCCAGCCCGAAGGGAGGCAGTGCTAAAGGGAGGAGCTGGGGAGACGAGCACCGGTGGGTGACACAGTCTGAGCTCTGACTATGCTGCGTAGCAGCCAGCCCTGCTCTGCTCTGGTTGATTATAGGAGCAAAGGCACTTCCTTTTTGCTTAAGCTAGTTCAGTCCTGTCACAGGTCACAGAGAGTCCTAACTGATGCCTTCTCCGTTTTCCCAACTCACCAACACAACTTGACACAGAGAGGGTCACTTGCCCAGGAATCAAGTACCAAAAAAGCCCACCACCATGCCCCCCAGTTCCACAGCCTCTTGACTCATTGTCTCTTTAAACCTGGCTGAGAAAGAGGCCTCAGCTTGCTTAGCCTCACTCACAGCAGAACTGGCATCTACTTTCTTGAGCATACTGCCGGCTGGTTTGGATTGTCACACTGATCTAGGATTTTAACATACTGGTAGCATTATGGTATTTTCTTCATAAAAATCTCTTGGCTGGATAGTAAGACAGAAGGCCCTGGAACATTACCCCACTCTGTTACATATATACACAGAAGAAGCAGTGAGTCCCAAACCTTTGAAAGTACAATTTCTTTCTTTATGTTTTTAATATTTATTCTCCAAAAGGAACAGGTCATCTGTTTAAGACTAAAATGTAACTGACACTTGATATTAGTCAAAACCAGCAAGTTAAAGCAAATTGGAATTGAAGTGGAAACCAATGAAAACACGAGGACCCACCAATCAAGGACCAGATAGGATTGTCCTCCTTTTCGATGCTTGAAAATTGACCTATGAGATTAGCTTGGACCTCAGCATTTAAAATGGATAAATCTCTCTCCACCAGGGCCTTGTTAACCTCAACACAAGTCTGAACACCGATAGAATTCAGGACTTCCTTCAAGTTAAAGGTCCTAAAAAAAGCATAAAACAAAATCGCCATCAGGAATAGTTTTTTTATTCAGCAGTTTTTAAATATTTTTCAATATACCAACTTTTTTCAAATGTCTGTCATTTTTCATTTACACACAGTAAGTACTTCTATTAGCATGAACTTGGAATATAGTGACTCCTCCCAAGCACCAAACCTATGTGTAGCAGATTTTTAAATGCTTAAAACCATTCAATTCTGTAGGTACTGTTTAGTTAGGAAAGCAGAGTCAGAAAAGTGTGGTCCCTGAAAATAAGTCTGCAACCCCATTTTCATGCAGGACCATCAGAAAATACCTATTTACTTCTTAAAATAAACCTTTTTGTCTGAGCAGATTCATTCATAGACTTTTTTGTTGTTGTTGTTAAATCTATGCTTATAAAATGAAGAATCCAGGGGCGCCTGGGTGGCTCAGATGGTTAAGCGTCTGCCTTCGGCTCAGGTCATGATCCCAGGGTCCTGGGATCGAGTCCCACATCGGGCTCCCGGCTCAGCGGGGAGCCTGCTTCTCCCTCTGACCCTCTCCCCTCTCATGCTGTTTCTCTCTCGCTCGCTCTCTAAAAAGTAAATAAATAAAATCTTTAAAAAAATAAAAATAAAATGAAGAATCCATTCCTTTATCCATGCCCGAACAGTGAATCTATAAAACCAATCATAAACAAGAAATGAAGGGACACCTGGGTGGCTCAATCAGTTAAGCGGCCAACTCTTGATTTTGGCTCAGGTCATGATCCCAAGGTCCTGGGATCAAGTCTTGTATTGGGCTCTGCACTCAGTCGGAGTCTGCTTGAGGTTCTCTTTCTCCCTCTTGTTCTGCCCCTCCCCCCACTTGTGATCTCTCTCTCTCTCTCTCCCCCTAAAATAAACAAATAAATCTTAAAAAAAAAAAAGCTCATAAGAAATAAAGATATTTAGAGGTTTATACCATAATGACAAATTACCTAAAATTCTTGACCTATCATGATCAAAGATAAGAAGCTTCTTCCTATTGTTACTTTCAAGTAACCAATCAAAAATCCCAGAAAACCATAAAAAGTAATTGGCAGTGGGTTATTTAAGAGGTAAGAAAAAAGAGGTAATTAGAAAGGGCATGTGTTGGGTCCACGCTATTGGGGAACAATGATTGAAAATGGTCTCTCACGATCCAGAAATGGTCTTTAAGATAACTTTGTGCAAAATGGAAATTAGAGGATAAGAGAACAGGGGTGGGCATGGAGTATTAAAACAATGAAGCAATCGGAGAGGCAGAGCATCTATAAAGAGATGATTTAACAACTACCTAGTTATTAAAAGTGAACATTTATCGAGCACCATGTGCCAGACACCTGCACTAAGTGCTTCACAGTGAATCATCTTAAGTTCCCACATTTGTAAGTTGGCACAATTATCCATTTTTGCAAGTGAGAAAATGAGGCTCAGAGTGATTCGGGAACTTGTTCAAGGGTACCTAACAAGTCAATAGCACAGCTGGGACTTAAACCGTGGTCTGTCTGACCTGAAGCTTGACTTCTCAGTAACCACTTTGCTATATGCTTTATATGAATACTTAAGCAGCATTGTGGGTTCTCTAAAGGCTTAATAAAAATTTCTGGAAAGTAATAGTTACCCTGTGTGGGGAAATGCTAAGGTAAGACCAGCTGCAAACCTAGAGAAGGTTTCTTTTCATTATAGGTCTTGGGTCCTGGAATGTAAAGTAAATGAGCTTGGCTGATTAGCACAGAAACAGTAGAAAGGGCAGGGCCTTGACACAGTTGGACCAGGCCTTAGGCCTTGATTTGCCTTTTTTCTTGATGTGCAGCCCAAGGCAAATCCTATCCTCTCTCTGACAACTTTGGATGCTATAATCACTCAGGGTACTGTTGGCTCTTAATATTCTAGGCTTTTATCAAGTAATCTTATGTGCTTTCTCAGTAATGAGCAGGAGGACGGAGGGATAGAGGCATCTCTCTTCAAAGACAGGAATGAACAATGTAAGTCCTTGAAGGCACCTGAAAGGGGAACCAGCAGGAGGAGCTGACCCATATAAGACCCATGAAAACTTCTGGTCATTGACTAAGACTAGGAATTTTCTGACTTGGACAGGATTTGCAACAGGATGATCTAAATGAAATCGTCTGGGCAACAAATTTAGCAAAAACAAGAGCTTTACTGGACTTGTGCAACATCTCTGAAGGACAGGATGTCACTACTTCTACTAAAGAGTTCATAGCAGACTGGATCAGTCAAGTTGGTAAACATTCCATTGCAGAAAAATTATGGAGTCAGAACAACTGAGTAGGAAAGCCTCCCTGATAGGGCCTTCTAAACCCTCAGCTTGGAATTCTGATTTTTGTTTGTTCCACAGCACTGTCAAAGAAGAGCTCTTGCACATGCCCATCGTAAGCAGAAATAGGACACTCACCCTGGCATTTGTCATGGAAAAGATCTCTCCCTTCTTATGAAAGGACATCTAAACCTCCAGAGATATTAAAAGAAATTCTAGAAAAAGAAGGTGTAAGATAAGCTTCTCTAAAGTACAGTCCTAAATTTTACACCCAGACATCCAGGATTATTCACCATCTCTGAAACATACGCAGAGCCTTAATACGAGGATGAGCAGATAAAAACACATGGAACTTACTCTTTGTTCATGCCTTCGAGTAGAACAACTGAAATCCTTTTTAACCTGTTTGCAAGCTCGGGGAGGCCTTCTGTAAGAGCACCCACCATGTTGTTGGTAATTAGGGACAGGCAGGCAATAATTTTCAATTGATTCAGCTTTTCTGTCAGTTCCTGAAGACGTGCTCCATCTGTCATGAGTGTCTAGCATATTTATTTTAAATGTAAAAATAGAAAGGGAAGCTCAATACCATGAAAATATAAAACAAGCAGTGTTACATCCAAACTCCCATTTCTATCTGATTTCAGGAAAGTCATTAAACCACATGCAACACTAGACAGACTAGCTGATACACAGATCGAACTTGAGAATTAAAATATTGGAGAACTTGAGGGAAGGAAAAAAACCCCACTCACCTCTGGTAATTCTTTTTTCTGATAATCCCACTGTAACAGTTTTAAATAACTGTTATTTAGCACCAGTGTAGGGCTCAGGCTTGGCTTAGAGCTGTTTTCAGCCCCAGGAGTTAAAGCAGTCTCAGAAAGAGAAAGTAGTTCTTCATTTACAGATTCTCTTATCCATTCTGTAGTTTGATCAAGAGCACCTGAAAGTGAAAAGGCCACAGATTTGTCCTACAGCTATTAGATCCCTTGCGTGCATTCTACATGACAGATGTTAGGTTAGGAACTGGGCATGAATGACAAGACAGGCACACCCTTAAAGGAGCTTATAGTCCAGATGGGGAGACAGCTGTAAACCAACAATTACAGCAGAATACAATAAATGCAAGAAGGCACAGTGGGAGTGGAGGGAGCAGACACTGTCCAGGACAGAGTCTAAGAAGAAGAGCTCTATAAGTGACACCTAACCATACAAAGCAAACAGAGGACAGGACTGTCACTCCAGGCCAGGCAAATGGCCCATACAAAAACCCAGAACAGTGAGAGAATACAGCACATTCTGGATGCTACGAGCATATCTGTATTGCTGGTCCATAGAAAACAAGGGAGAGTGGTAGCAGATGGCATTGGGTGGGTAGGCAGGAGCTAGCTCACACATGACCTTGAATTTTGTGCAGAGAAGGTATTTAGACTAAAAGCATTGATTATTAAACAATTTTGGATCCTGGACCCCCTGAGTGTCTGATTAGAGCTATGCCTTTCCCAAAATGCACATTTATGCTAGGGTGCACACCTTATTTTACTTTTGACTCAGTTCTAAGGCTTCCCATTAGAAACAATTTGCTTTTTATACCACATTTCTTATAAAACTGTGTATTTGGTAGAATTTATAAGGTGGAAATTGCTAAAAAAACAAAAAAATGCAGACTGAACACAGGTGCAGATTTTTTAAAAAGCACCAGAGAATGAAATACAGAATAGTAACCCTGAAATTCTTCTTCAGACCCAGCGCTTGAACGGGGGTAATTTGTGAGCGGCAATACACTAGAGCGACACCACCCCAGAATTTCACAACTTTGCTTCTCCTCAGTTGGCAAATGTTCTTGGTTTTTCTAATTCTGTTCATAAAGATGTAAAAGACTCGTAGTCTTTTGTTTAAAGGACATCCAACAGAGAGAGAGAGTGGAAATCTTGGTGGATATAATTATAATGTGGCATTAATAAGCATTTATACTGCAAGCTTAATTATTTACAGCTGACACACTTAAAAGCCCATTTAGTTATCTCAAACAAAAGCAACAGTGTACCATAGTGGTTCTCAATCCTGGATGATTTTAGGATCACCTGGGGAGCTTTAAAAAGAAAGATCTTGGGCACAGCTTCTGGAGATTCTGATTTAATCAGTCTGAGATGGGGCTCAGGCATCTGTGTTTAAACACCCCAGGTGATCCTAGCAGGAAGCCAGAATTGAGTATGACCAGTAAAGCAGAAAGAGCACAAGTTCAGAGTGAAACATCAGCTTTCCTCTAAGGGATCTATCTGCAGAGATGTTACTCCCACAAGCTAGTACATTGACTGCTCTATGTGGCTCCAAAGCCAAGGTCAACCCCTTGAGACACTTGTACCCTTGATTTTTCATGTGGGCAGTAATTCTCTTCATCCACTCATTTATTCAATGACAACTGAGCACCTAATGTACACTAGGTTCTGTACCAAGTGCTGGGGATTCATAGATGAGTAAACATGTTCCGTGCACTCAAGAAGCTCTTAGTCTACTAGGAGGGAGAAACAAAAGAACAGGCAATGGCTTTACAGGTGCATTTACCTAAGAATTTCCCAGGAGCTATGGAGGCCCAGGAGCACTGCACCTGAATTCACTCTCCACCCAATACATGCTTCTGGTTTCTTGCCAGGGAGGCTTGGCCTAACCCCCCTGATACTATCTTTGGTTCTCTAAATCTAAATCCTTCCAGTCTTTACTGACCTCACCTAAATCTCTCTTCCTGTGGGAAGCCTTTCTTGATCATATGGACCCATCCTTTACTCACCCTTCTCAGAGCACCTATCTTTGAATTTTTGATCTGGCTGTCATTTCTCTTAAACAGCTGAACTAAAAAAACAGCTTCTCTACTTTTTAAAAAAATTGTTATTAAATATTTCATGTGCATTCATCTCAATTTCATCTCATTAATGAGATCACTAAAGAGTTCCATCTATGATCTTTATTTTTTATTTCTCTTTCCCTTGACTTAATTCATACCACAACTTGATAGGTATGTGAAATGTGGCTTTATTTTGGCAGACACATTTGCTTTGGAAAATACTCAGATTATCTTTCCAGTGGTACTTGTCACATACTGGGTGCTCTAAAAGCCTCTGCTCTCTGTGTCTGGCATGAGAGACCTGGTAGGTTTCCAATTTAATTCACCATCTCTGGAAGTAACCATGCGCTTAAAGAATGGCTCAAATAGTCTTGTTCAGACTGACAAACTGATTGGTCCTGCAGCTATCTTTCCCTCCCCACTGTCATCCAGTAAAATGTTTACTGATATACACAGTACATGCAAATCAAGACAAATTGTTTTTTGTAAACTCTTTCACAAAGCAGAGAAGGGAATACTTCTCAATTCATTATTTTATGAGGCCAGCTTTGCCCTGATACCAAACCCAGACAAAGGTATTAGAAGAAAATTACAAAGTGATCTCTTTCCAAAAATACAGATGCAAAAATCCTTAAGAAAGCATTAGCAAGGTAAAGTATTAGCAAGATAAAATAATGCACTATGACCAAGGGGGTGGCATAAACATTTCAGGATTGCAAGGTTGGTTTAATTAGAAAAACATCAATCACTGTAATTCAGCACATTAACAGAATAAAGGAGAAAAAAGATCTCTTTAGTAGATACAGAACAAGCATGCGACCAAATTTAACATGTGACTTATTTAGATAAAAACTCTCTGCAAACTAGAAATAGAACTTCCTCAACACAGAAAAAGACATCTATGAGAAGCTGCAGCTAACACCATACTTAATGGTCAAACAATGAACATTCTTCCCCTAGAAAGGCAAGGATATCCTCTCTCATGACTACTACTGAAGATCTGATTGGATGTCCTAGTCAGTGCAATAAGGCAAGAAAAAGAAATAAAAGGCACACAGATTAAAAAAAGAAGAAGAAGAACTAAAACTGTCTTTATTTGCAGACAAGATGATTGTATATGTAGAAAACCTAAGGAATAGTCCAAAAACCTACTAGCATTAATAAGTTAATTTAGCAAGTTCTCAGAATGCAAAGTCAATATTCAAAAATCAATTATATTTCTACATACTAGAAAATAAAAATTTTACAAAATACTATTTATAACAGCATCAAAGAACATAAAATAAATGAGATTAAATTGAACAAAATAAGTACAGGACTTGGGGGGGGCACCTGGGTGACACAGCTGGTTGAGCATCCGACTCCTGGTTTTGGCTCAGGTCATGATCTCAGGGTTGTGAGATCAAGCTTCATGTCAGGCTCCCGGCTCAGCAGAGTCTGCTTAAGTTTCTCTCTCCTTCTCCTTTGTCCCCTCCCCCCTCAAATAAATAAATCTTAAAAAAAATAAGAACTAGACTTGTACACTAAAACTAAAATATATTGCTGAAATCAATTAAACTTAAGTAAACATATCCAATTCACAAATTAGTAGACCCATTATTGTGAAGATGTCAATTCAACATAATTCCAATCACCATCCCAGCTGGCTCTTTTGCAGAAACTGATAAACTAATTAAAAATGCATATGGAAATTCAAAGGACCTAAAATAGGCAAAACAATTTTGAAAAAGAACAAAGATGGAAGACTAACATTACCTGATTTTAAGACTTAGCCTCAATAATCAGGACTGTGTGGTATTGAGTGAAGAGAAGACACAGATCGTAGGATGGAATAGAATCCAATAAAAAAAAATGAAGTAGTGATATGTGCTACAAGATGGGTAAATCTTGAAAATATTATACTAAGTGAAAGAAGCCAGACACAAAAAGCCACACATTGTATGATTTGATTTATATGAAATGCCTGTAATTGGCAAATCCATAGAGATGGAAAGTAGACCAGGAGTTGTCAAAGGCTAGGGGAAGGGAGGAATAGGGAGATATTGGTAGTGGGTGTGGAGTTTCTTTTTGAGGTGATTAAAATCTTCTGGAATTAAATACTGACGATGGTTGTATAACCTTATGAATATACTAAAAACCACTGAATTATACATTTTTAAAAATTAATGTTATGGCATGTAAATTATACTTCGATTACAAAAAAAGATAAAAGGTCAGAAATAGACTCACAAATGTATCGTCAATTGATTTTCAACAAAGATGCCAAAGTAGTTCAATAGAGAAAAGGTAGTCTTTTTCAAGAAATGGTGCTAGAATTGGATATATATATGGAAAAATGTGAACCTTGAAATATATTACCTTGAAGTGTTTCCTAAGCCTAAAACTATAAAAACTTCTAGAAGAAAACATTCAAAAAAGTCTTCATGACCTTGGGATATGCAAAGATTTTGTAGACACACCACTAAATGCACAAATAAAAGAAAAATTTTAGGGCGCCTGGGTGGCTCAGTTGGTTAAGCGACTGCCTTCGGCTCAGGTCATGATCCTGGAGTCCCAGGATCGAGTCCCGCATCGGGCTCC